ACAGCCAGGAGGAGTATTGGCTCACAGCAGACCCACAATGAATGCTGGTTCTATTGCTGTTGGCAGGTGTATGTAGATGGTGCCATCTTTCCAGTATGGTGGCAGGGACTGTCTGTCCACAATCATTTAAAAATTGCAATGAAGCTAAGCACCAGTGGCTCATTCTGCAATCCTAACTACTCAGGAGGCTGAGATCTGAGAATTGTGATTCAGGCTGGGCAGGAAAGTCCATGAGACTCTTACTTCTAACTAAGCACCCAAAAGCCAGAAGTGGAGCTGTGGCTTACGTGGTAGAGCACTAGCCTTGAGTAAAAGAAGCTTAGGGACAGCTCTCAAGTCCTGAGGTCAAGCCCCAGGACAGGCACCAATAAAAAGAAAAAGCAACAAGTAAGATATGGACACGTGTGACGTACTAGGTACACTCTAGGTTCTCAGGGTCCCGCTGTGAACTAGACAGCTCACAGCTCTTTCGTCATGGAGTTTAAAACTGATGTCAGAAACTAGACAAGCAGTATGACCCGGAGAGCTGGGGAGAGAAGTGGGGTGGGCTAAGGGCAAGGAGTGGGATGGGGAGGCTGAGTTTGTGGACAGAGTGCCCAGGGAAGCATGGCGGGAATGGGGTGAGGAAGATCACCGGTAATGACTGGCGTGGGCCTCCCTGGAGTGGGGGCAGCCAGGGCCCAGAGCAGAGGTGGGAAGACGCTGTGTGTGTGGCGTGGGAGATCGGGGTCAAGAGACTCAGGCAAAAACGGGGGCTGGGGAGTGCAAATGGATGAAGTCGTGGCCAGGTCACCCAGGGCATTGCAGACCATGGTGAAGGTGATACCTTCCTTGGTTCCCACCTCTTTAAAGATGGTCTGCTGTCCAGTGTCCATGTGTGCTGAGGGGCTGACGGAAGCCACAAGAGGGCAGTGCATGCGTGTCAGTCATACCTGCAATGATAACCTACACCGGAGCCAAAGGGTTATTTTGTCTCCCATGTTGGAGGTATCAGGTCACAGTAATAGGTCTCAGGGTTCGAAGCCTGAGCTGGAACATGGGGAGAGTACCTGTCAGAGGAGGCCTACCCACCTCATGTCCAGACTTGAAAGAGAATGAAAGAGACTGGCACCCCACAATCCTCTTTGAGGGTGCATCCCCAATGACCTAAAGTCCTCCCGCTAGGCACCATGCTGAGACTGCGCCTTTAACACACAATTCAGAGGACAGCTCTGCAGAAGCAAAGACTCTGGGGAGGAGGAGAAGGAGACATGCAGGTCCCCTGGCTCAGGAGCAGAGGAGCTGGGCCATACAGAGAGGGGACAGGAGCCAGAGCACAGAGATGCTGCACTGATGGACATTTTCCTTCTTCTTTTTCCCCTCTGCACACACTGTGGAAACAAGGTCATCAACCCGGCATGAGGAGTTGAAGGCAGAGGACAGGAGATGCAAGAGTGTCTATCAGGGAGGAGAAATAGGTTGGCCAGGACACACGTACAGGGGTGTCGCCCTGTAAGAAGGACCTGCCTCATTCATTGCTGACCCAGGAGTGGACTAAGTGGTGAGCTTGGTTAAGATTTGGGATTCAGGGTTAGAGGTGTGGCTCAAGTGATAGAGCATCTGCATGGCAAGTGCAAAAGCCCCGAGTTCATTCACCAGTACAGAAAGTGCAGGGATGGCAATTCTCCCCTCTGAGTGACTGGAGAGCAGAATGTTGAGTGAGCGCTGGGGTGCTAAGCTGCGTTTGGGGGAAGGTGAAATGGATTGGGGAACTGGGAGGAGGATTTCAATTTCAGTATGTTCCACTTTCAGATTCCATTTTAGGTGAACTTAATATAAACCCACATCATAAATACAGGAGTTTAAAAAACAACAAAATTAACTGAGCATCTACTACCTGCCAAGCACGGTGCTCAGTGTTGTGTATTTCCTAGCTCTCATGTAGTCTTTATGAACATCCATTAAGGCTGGATCGTTCTTCTCCCCCATAATATGCAATGTGTCCCAGGGAGATGCAGTTACCCAGCACTCGGTGCTGGTCTGTGTATGACCAAGTCTGAGATCTGAACTCCTATGTAGCGCCAAGTGCCCCACGCCAAGTGGGGCCCCTGCAATTGTGACAGTCAGCTGCTCCTACTTGATCTCAGCCTGAACACAGGATACCTGACCTCAGCTGCCCAGCAGAGAAGCCGGGATGAAGGTGGAAAATCTGGAATGCTTCCTTGTGTGAACGAAGCTGTGGATCTGTTTGCTCTTGTGAGCTAAAGGATAAACACATTACCTTAAATTGGCCAACCTCTAACTGACATAAGAAAGTTCCAATCAAGAAGAGGAGAAAAGTCAAGATGCACTGTATTCATATACTGCTTTGTGGAGCTGGGAAAGTGGCTTAGTGGTAGAGTGCTTGCCTTGAATGCATGAGGCCTTGGATATGATTCCTCAGTACCACATAAGCAGAAAAAGCCGGAAGTTGCACTGTGGTTCAAGTGCTATCCTTTAGCTGAAGAGCTGAGGGACAGCACCCAGGCCCAGAGTTCAGGCCTACGACCAAAAAAAAAAAAAAAATAAAGGAAAGAAAAGGAACTGCTTTGTTACAATGCAACTCTTTTGTACAACTACTTAAAGATAATAAAATACATACATACAAAGAAGAGAAGAAAAAGCTAGAACCTATTTGGCCACCCAAACACCCCAGGGCATCAGCAGTCTCTTTTCTACTCCTGGGTCTCCAGCTTTCTGTCACCTCTGTGAGTCAGCCTCCAGCCCGCCAGCAACTCCAGTTCTGCTCAAGCTGGGCAAAAGTAGTTACTATGACTTGCACTCGAAGAAAAACAAGACTAAGAATTGTGAAGCTGTGGTAGATGATGCACTTCTGGGAGAAGTGCATACTGAGCAGGGCTGGGCTGGGGTGGGCGAGGCACCCAAGACACACAATTTGAGGAGGTTTCTCTCCAGCTAATGTGAGAGCAGGCTCAGCTCTAAAATCAAAAAGGAAAACAAAAACAAAAACAGCCCCCCCCTAAAAACAACAAAAAAGAAAACTTGAGGATTATCTCTCAGCCAATGCTAGGGGACAGCTTTCCATCCTTGCCACAAACCTTCCTCTTCTTTTTAGTATTAATTATCGTTTAGTTGCACACAGTACCGAACAGAAAGTGAACCATATGGGTCAGCAGGAGCTTTCTGCTCCCTATGATCATTTGGGGATCTTGCCACCTTTCCATTTGGGTGGCTCCGTAATCCTGTCACCATCATAATCAAGGAGAAAGAAGAGAAGAAGGAGGAGGGAGAGGAGAAAGAGAGGCAGGAAGAGGAAAAGGAAGGCCCCTAGCCTTTACAGCCCTGAGGTGTCACTCATTCCTTCCAGGGCAAGAGGTCACCAACTGGTGGTATTCCTTACAAGGGAAACATGGCTGGGAAGCCATGTTGCGTTGGAAGGCAGGGATGCTCACAGAGCTCACAACTCAGTGCTCACAAGCCAGGCTGGTGGGCAAGAGGGTGGAATCAGAGGGAGCAGAGTGGAATCCGAGTTACAGGCTTACAGGTTCCGGGTTGGCCCTGGTGCGCCTTTAATCTTTCAGAGGCTTTGGGTTCCCTGTTTTTAAAACAATGAAGTGAAGGGAGGCTGAGATCTGAGAATCATGGTTTGAAGTTAGTTCAGACAGAAAAAACTCTGTTAGCTCTTGTCGCCAATAAACAAGCAAAAAGTCGGCACTGGAGCTGTGGCGCAAGAGGTAGAATGCTAGCCTTGAGTGACAAAACTGAGAGAGTGCCTAAGCCTGAGTTCAAGTCACACACACACACACACACACACACACACACACACACACACCACCACCACCACCACCACCACCACCACCACCACCACCACCACCACCACCACCACCACCACCACCACCACCACCACCACCACCACCACCACCCTCAATTCAAAAAGTGTTGGGGGCTCCATTGAAGCAGGGAGGAAAAACTGCCTTGGAGAGTATGAGTCCATGCGAAGGGGTCAGGATTCAGTCTCTTTGCGAGTGTCCCTTTTTGTTTTGTCCATTCTATTTCTGGAGACTGTTGTAAGGATCTGCCTAGGAAAATGAGTTAATAGAACTAGAAAAATGGAAACGAGAGGGTTTTTACCCTCCCCCTTTGTCTTGTTTGTTCCCTTATCTGTCTTTGGGGGGGGGGAGCCCCAGAAACCGAGAGCCAAGAGTGAAGGCATGCAGCCGTGGTGCCCACTGGACTCTACGTGGAAAATGAAGTATACAACTTGCGGGTGGGGGTGGGTCCTCGCTGCCCACCACCTTTAGAGGATGACGGACGGAGTCTGGGCGGCCCCGGCTCCGCTCCCGCAGCCGGGCATGCGCAGTGCCGGCCGGGGCGTCCCCGGCGCGGCGCCCGGCCCCGCGGGCCCCGCAGGTGCGGTGCTGAACGCCGCCGCCCACGGGCGCGTCCCTCCCCCGGCACGGCGGCGCTGCGCCCGCCGCTGCTCCGCGCCCACGGTCAGCCCCGGGCGCCGGTATAATTAGCTCCATCTCCGACACGACTGTCACCTCCCACTCGGATCCCCAAGCCAGCCGAGCCCGCGGCGGAGGGTGCGCGTGACCCGCCCACTGGGCAGAGTTGATGCCACCGGGGGGCCGCGGGGTCCTCTCCACCTCGGGAGTGTCGCAGGCGTTCAGACCCTTTCCCTACGCTCTCGCGCTGTGTGCAATTAAACTAGAACGAGAAGTCGTACTGAGAGGAAGAAGAAGAAGGGCTGGAAAGCTGCCCTGAGCATTGGCTGGACCCCGCGGTGCTCCCGATCAGACAGCCCGCCGGAGAAAAACCATCCTGTCTCTTTAAGAGACAAGGAGGCTGGGGAGGCGGGGACAGCCGGCGACCCCCAGCCCGCGCGGGTAGCCGAGCCCGCCTCTTTTTGAGTGACGGACCATTCATCCAATTGAAGGAAGAACTTTTAGCGCGACGGCAAAACAGACTAATAGACTGCCAGGAAGGGCTGAGGGGGGGGCGGGACCCCAGGAAGGCGGGGCGGGCGGCGGCTGGTGGGGCCGCGGTCGCTGGGACCCGGGCGCGGGAGCCGGGCCTAGGTCGGCGCCCTGGTGAGTGGGGGGGGGGGGGGGGGGGGGAAGGGGGTAGACGGGGATCCGCCCGGGGTGTGGGGGGGCAGGAGTAGATCTGGGCGGCGGGGAGGCCCCGAGGCTACGGCCTGGGCCGCCCTGGCGGAGGGTCTGGGTGGCCGGTACCTCGGGCCTTGGCGGGTCGCGGCCTGGCCGGGCTGCGGGGCGGGACCGGGCGGCGCCGGGGCAGGGCGGGGGGGCAGGGGGAGGGGTGGAGCCCGGGGCAGAAGATGGGGACGGGGGCGCCGGGGGGGGGGGGCGCCGGGAGCCCCGGAGCCCAGCGCGGGTGCGGCCTGGCTCTGGACCCCGCCGCGGGTCCCGCGTCCTCGCCGGCCCCGGCCCGGCCCCGGCCCGGCCCCGGCCCGCTCGCCCACCCGGGACCGGTGCCGCTGCGTCTTCTCCCGTCTGCTGCGGGCGCGCGGCCCGGGGCCCGGCCCGGCCCTTTCAGATCGCTGCTGGGACGCGGGGTGCAGCTCTGCCCGGCTCCCCAGCCACCCTCGGTCAGCGCCGGGCCCGCCCCTCGGCCCCGGGCTCGCCCCCTCCGCTCGGGGCTCCGGGCCTTCCTGGGGCCTTCCACCGAGCGTCCCTCGACCTGTGGGGGTCCCCCGGCCCCCCTCACCCCCGAGCGCCTTCCCGGGGAGGCGTCCCCGGTCCCCGACCGAGCCGTGTCCCACGGTGAACACCCGGGTCTCTCCCTCCCCGCCCCGGCTCCGCCGCCGCCGTCGCGCGTCTGTTTACGGTTCGGAGACTGCGGCGATCCAGGCCGCACCGCGCGCGCGCGGGGCCCGCCGTTCCGTCCGAAGAAAACCAGAAGATGAGGCCCACAGGAAGAAGGCAGGCAGTGTCCGGTGTCGCCCTTGCATCCCGGGCACCCCACACAGGTCAGGCGCCGCAGTATTTGCTAAATAAACAGAAGGCTTAGAATTGTCAAGAGGAAGGAGGTGTGAATCTAGTCACCGGTGGGGAAAGGGGCCCCACGTTGGGGCAACTTTGTGTGTGTGTATGTGCCAAACTCTGCTAAGGGGATGCTGTCCCGTTGAAAAAAATGAGGCAGGCAGGGGCCAGGTGTCATTCCAGGTAGATCGCTGAATGTGAGGCCTTGAGTTCAAATCCCAGTACTGTCAGGACGATGACTATGATGATGATACAGACCCCAGTCGCTGTTTTTGAAAGCATAAAAGCAGGTGCAATTAATGGTAGTCATGTGCTTTTCAACTTTGTCTATTGCAAGTATTATCGTACCACGCAAAGGACAGGGAACAGCGCTTGGTGGGGTAGCTCCATTGGTTTGCAGTACCTTTTTGGGATGTGCCCATTTTGTAGTCAGGACAGCCCACCTCTCACTTTGACTCGCACAGTGGCCATGGGTCTAGTGCTCTGTAGCCACACGGTGAGGGCTGACACACCAGCTGTGCGGTGCTGGACCCTGCAAACCTGATGGTGTCCTAGCCCCTCTTGAAGGAACCGTGGTTACCCACATTTCATTGATGAAAATAACGTGTTAGCACCTGCCCGAGGTCATCCTGGACTGTGTGAGTGGAGAAGGTGGACTGAGACCTCCTTTGGTGAATTACCGATTATTTAGGCTGCAGTGGGGTTTGAACTCATGGTTTTCTGCTTGCTCAGCAAATTCCCACTTGAGCCACTTTACCAGCTCTTTTTGTGTTCATTATTTTTGAGGTGTGTTCATGAGGCCTTATGTTTCAGCCCAGCTTGATCTGTGATCCTCCTGTTTATGCATCAGCAGCCCTGGTATCATGGGCACACACCACCTTGCCCAGCTGTTGGTTGAGATGGAATCTCATGAACTGTTTTGCTGGAGCTGGGCTCGAGCCACCATGCCCAGCGTCTATCTGTTAATACTGAGGCTGGTGATTCTTTTTATTCCCTGTGCTGCTTCTACAGGAAGCAGGGGTTCAGCCTTCTTCTAATGGCACTGTTGTCTACAAGTTCTAGCTTGTTCTGTGCTTGGATAGCATCTAGGTGTTATCATTACCATCTGTGTGAATGGCTACAAGTAGCCTATCTGATGTAGTTGACGAAAAAAACCTGCCCCAGGCTGGGTGCTGGTGGTCCTGGCACTCAGAGGCTGAGACAGGAAGATGCTTCGAGTGTAGGAATTCAAGACCACACTAGGCAACCTAGCAAGATGATGGCTGAGGAAAACCTCCGTGAGGCACATCTGTCTCCGACTCAGTCACTTCCCTCAGTCCAGCTGCACTAAGTGAGCCTGGTCCCAGGATCTGGATGGAAAGTAAAACCTTCCACATGGCAGCATCTCGGAGGGGCTGGGAACTTGAAACTTATTTCCAGTTTGACCACTTTGAGTTGTTGTTGAGTCCCTGCCCTGAGGCCCGCACTGTTCTAGGCCACCAGGAGTGACTTGAGCGTGTAAGTCACCGTTCATCTTCACAGTGCTTAACGTAAGCACTAGAAAGACAAAACCAGGTCACACAAAATGACCCATATGTGTGGTAAAAAACAACAACAACAACAACAAAAACCAGAAGGAAAGGTGGGCCAGGGGCTACAAAGTAGCCTTGTGGCCAGGTTGCATTTTTATTGATAACTGGTGTTTGAGCTCCGGGTCTCTCTTTCTTGGCTTTTTTGCTCAAAGCTGGCACCCTGTCACTTGAGCCACAGCTCCACTTCTGGCTTTTTATTAATTATAATTATTAGAGATAAAGAGCGAAGCGCTGGTGGCTCACACCTGTAATCCTAGCTACTCAGGAGGCAGAGATCTGCAGATTGTGGTTCAAAGCCAGCCCAGGCAGCAAAGTCCATGAGACTCTTATGTCCAATTAGCCACCAGAAAACCGGAAGTGGTGTTGTGGCTCAAGTGGTAGAGCATTAGCCTTGAGCTGAAAAGCTCAGGGACAGTGTCCAGGCCCAGAGTTCAAATGTCATGACCAACAAAAAGAAGGGAAAAAAAAAAAAAGGTCTCACAGATTTTTCTGCCTGAGCTCTTTTTGAACCTCAGTCCTCAAATCTCAGCCTCAGCCTCCTGAGTAGCTAGGATTATAGATGTAAGCCACTGATGCCTCACATTTGCTGGTTAATTTGGAGATAGAATCTCATGGTTTTTTTTTGCCTGGGCTACCTTCAAACTGTGATCCTCCAGAATCTTAGCATCCTGTGTACCTAGAATTACAGGTGTGAGCCACTGGCACCAGGCTGAAGTTACATTTAAAAAAAAACCAAACTGAATTTGAACTTTTACAGGCTCAGTAGAAGTTTCCAGTTTTCCCAGCCCCTACTACTTGGAGGCCATGTGGTTTATTTACCTGCCTGCCTGGGTGCTTAAGGCATTTGTTGATTTTGAGTCACTAGAAAAGATCACTAGCTACTATGTTGGCTGGTTCTTCCAAAGGTGTAGTAATAACAGTAGAATGCCACCATCAAATGCCTGGACTTTGTAGAAATTTCTCTCCCTAATTGCTTTCATAGGTCCTTTCATTTTTGTCCACAACATACCACAGCCTGGCAGGGAGGGCTCTGTGTGTGTGTGTGTGTGTGTGTGTGTGTGTGTGTGTGTGTGTGTGTGTGTGTGTGTGTGTGTGTGTGTGTGTGTGTGTGTATGTGTGTGTGTGTGTGTGTGCGCGCATGTGCGTGTGTGGTACTGAGGCTTGCACAAAGAGTGTCCCTTAGCTTTTTTGCTGAAAGGTGGCACTCTACCCCTTGAGCCACAGCTCCACTTCCAGCTTTTTGGTGGTTAATTAGAGATAAGATCTCACAGCCTGTCCTGCCTGAGCTGCTTTGCACTGTGATCCTCCAATCTCAGCCTTTTGAATAGCTAGGATGACAGGAGTGAGCCACCGGAGCAGGACTGGTGTTTTTATCCCGGAGGAGATGTGGTTCCACTCCAAGTCCATGCAGCTAGATTTTTGCTTACTCTGTGACTGGTGTGATATGTGGATGGAGCTTTACATACATTAATTGCTTTAATGTTCCCAGGACTTTGCCAAGTAGAGTTGCTTGGTTCTCATCGTCATTTTACAGATTAGGACGTTTTCAGAGCAGGGATCCAAATCCAGGCCTGTCCCACTCCAGAACACAAGTCCCCATGGCTAAACGACAATGCTTCCTGGGAGGTGGAGTTGGGAAAGGCACACCCCTGGAAAGGGGGGGGGGAAGAGAGAGAGGGAGGGAGAGAGTGGGGGGAGAGAGGGAGGGAGGGAGAGAGAGCTGAGAGTGGGGGAGGGTCTGGCTTTCTTTTGTCTTTAAGTGGTGGCCTGGTGTAGCATTGCCAGCTCTTGGACCTCTGTTCCTTTTTCTATAAAATGAGAGGGAGGACTTGGCCTAATTTATGAGGACAATGCTGGGTTGTTGTGGCCACTCTTGAAGGATTCTGGCCCGCAGCCTTTGGGTTTCAGCTGTATTTTCTCAGCCGGCCATGCCCTGCCTTACCCAGGCTCTCTCCCTGTGCAGTGCTGGTGTTCTCTGTGATCCTCTGAGCAGGTATTTTGTTTCGTTTTGTTTTTAGTGCTGGTCCTTGGGTTTGAACTCAGGGCCTGGGCACTGTTCCTGATCTTTTTGCACAAGGCTAGCTCTGTACCACTTGAACCACAGCTCCACTTCTAGCTTTTTTTTTTTGGTTATTATTGGAGATAAGAGTTTCATGGAGTTTCTTGCCCGGGCTGGCTTTGAACTGTCAGTGTGAGCCACTAGTGCCTAGCTGTTGAACAATTCCTTAAACCTTGAAGCAAGGCACCTGGCAACTCAGGAGGTTGAGATCTGGGGACTGAGGTTCAAAGAGAGCCCAAGCAGAAAAATCAGTGAAGCTTTTATCTCTAACTAAACAGCAAAAAACCAGAAATGGAGCTGTGGCTCACATGGTAGAGCGCTAGCCTTGAGAGAAAAAGTTAAAGGACAGCACCCAGGCTCTGAGTTCAAACTCCAGTACTGGCGCACATACCAACCCATACATAGCTCATCTGTTTATTTTTTTTCTCAGCCTGTGTTTGCTTGCTTTTCCCAAACAA